TGTTTGATTTGGCAAAACGAAGTGTGCAAAGGACGAAGGAAAAATTGAGTGAGGGGCATGGAAGCATAGGTGAGTGGGTAAGAAGAAGTAGGGAAAATGAGAGATGGGTCTGGGCCAATCAAGATGAGAGAGAGGTAGGGGGCAATGAAAATGACAGAGATCCAGAACAAGAGGTGATTGAGTGTGTAGATGTAGATGGTTTAGAAGAGATAGATGATGATGGAATTGAAGATGTCAACATAGGGAGGAAGGGGGAGATAGTGAGGATGACGTTGTTAGAGAAATTGACAAAGGGAAAAGAGTATTGGTTATGGATGAGGATGACGAAAAAAGTGAGGAAGGGGGAGATAGTGAGGATGAAGAAGGTTCTGATAGCGAGGATTCGAATTATGTTGGAAATAGTGCCAGCTCTGACACTGAGGAGAGTTTGGTGGATGATTTTGAAGTATCTGAAAATAGTGAAGAGGAAGATGAGGATATGGGCCTTAATGAAGATTGTGAGCCTCCAGATGAAAGAGTTGGGCTTAGCGTGTTGGAGGGCTTGGGAGACCAGCCTTTCTTTATGTTAGGCATGACTTTCTTAGACCTAAATGAGCTTAGGAGCGCCATAGACAGCTATGCTATTTCGAAAGGGGTGAATATCAAAATTATTAGAAGTGAGAAAAGGTTATTAAAGGCAATATGTGAAGAGGGCTGCCCATTCACCTTATATGCATCGAGAGATGGGAATAATGTGGGCTACAAGGTGAAGACATTGTGCAATGAGCACAGGTGTGGTAGGGTTTTCAAGAACCCTAGGGCAAGTGTGAAGTGGCTAGCCGAACACTTCAAGGAGAAAATACAGGAGAGACCTAATTACAGCATATGTGAAATGAAGAATGATGTTGAGCGTGAGTTGAAGGTCTACGTGAGCTTACATAAGTGCAAGAGGGCAAAGAGGAGAATAATACAACACATGGATGGGAGCTTCGTAGATGAATTCTCCAAGTTAGAAGCTTACTGCAATGAACTGAAAGTGTCAAATCTTGGGTCAGATATTAGTGTGGAGATAAGTAACGAGGCTTTGGAACAAGGGAGAAGAGTTTTTAGAAGAATGTATTTGTGTTTTAATGCAGCAAAGGTATGATGTTTAGATTTCTGTCACATATGGTATAATCTGTTAATTTGTTGTTTTATATTTCAGTTTGTCCTGATGAGTCAAAATTGTTGGTTTAGGTTGGTTGGAAAGTTGGGTGTAGACCATTGATTGGAGTTGATGGAACATTTCTAAAAGGTAAAGCTAGAGGGATTCTGTTAACTGCTGTTGGTTTAGATGCTAACGACTCATTGTACCCGTTAGCATTTGCTTTGGTTGATAAAGAGAATGGTGTGAATTGGAGTTGGTTCATTCAGTGGCTTAGGATATCACTTGATCTTCACAATGGTGGCAAAGTAACTTTCATGTCAGACATGCAGAAGGTATGATTAGTTACCTTTGCTGATTTACATATGACTTATGTGGTTTTAATGAGAACATTTAATTGACTAGTTCTATACATGTAGGGATTACAACATGCTGTGACAGAGATACTTCCAGAGGCCGAGCATAGACTTTGTGCAAGGCATATTTATGCTAACTGGAGCAAAAGGTGGAGAGGGAACGAGATGAAGAAAAAAATTTTCTCTTGTGCTTGGAGTACGTTTGAAGAACAATTCAAAGACAATCTCAAAGCACTTGGAGCACTTAACAAAGAGGCAGCTGAAGCAATGGTGTCATACCCTATATCTGCTTGGGTAAGAGCTTCTTTCAGTAATAGATGCTTGTCTTGGGTTGTAGACAACAATATGAGTGAGAGTTTAAATGCTTGGATTGATGAATATCGATATCTACCTGTTATTAGAATGTTTGATGGGATAAGGGTTAAGATGATGGAAAAATGGGCTGAGAGTGAGCAAAATGTGAGGAATTGGAAAGGCAACTATAGTCCAAAATGTCTGGACTTATTTGAAGCAAATAGGTTGTTGTCCTCTACATGTAGAGTTTTTTTCAATGGGGATGAGGGATTTGAGGTGACTGAGGGACAAGATAGGCACACAGTATGTCTCACTAGGAAAACGTGCACGTGCAGGGCATGGGATTTAACTGGAATCCCATGCCAACATGCTATTCGTGCTATGTATCACTGTAAACTGGAGCCCCTCACCCATATCTCACGCTATTACCACAAGGACACCTACATTGCTAGCTATAGGACAAAGTTTGCACCTGTGAGGGGCAAACAATTCTGGGATACAGAACAGTTTATCCCTATGCTACCACCACCTGAGTGCACATTGCCTGGCCGACCAAGGAAAAAAAGAATCAGGACAGAAGAAGTAGCAAGAAGGACAAATGTTGCCTCTAGGAAAGCTGCTCAAGCTACGTCAAGTAAAGCTGGCATGAGCAATGGTTCAGAAACACCACTTGTCGAAAGAGTAAGCAAACGGGGACAAGTCAACAAATGTGGCTTCTGCAGGAAAGTTGGGCACAATAGAAGCACTTGCACAGAGGTAACTTGTGCCAATTTCTTTATATTCATTTATTACAATAACTATAAGCTAACTTTTCATTTCTTTCTAGGCACCTCCCTCAAATAAGCCTCGACCTGGTAGAAGGAGGAAAACAGCCAACCAAGGCACAACACAGCAACCATCCAATCCCACTTCACCTTCACAGCAACCACATAGTCCACCTACACAGCAACCACCCCCTCCACCTTCACAGCAACCACCCAATTCCACTTTACCCTCCCAACAGTCGACAAATCATCCTCCATCGACACAACAACCACCTAAACCTTCCAAACACATAGCAAGAAAGAGGGTTGTCTACAAGCCCAGAGTTGAGTGTGGAATGGGTATAAGAATTGATGAGGGAACTGGGAGAACCGTCTACAATGTAAGTATTACTAGACACTATTCTCTTCCATTTTAATTCATGCAAAGTTACTGTCATTTAAGCAATGTCATTGACTTATGCAGCTTGGAATGCGTTCTGAGGTGGTCATTGAGGAGGGTATTGCACAGGAGTATATACAACACTACGTGGACCCTCAGAGTAAATTTCCAATCCCAAATGAGAAAGAACTTGACTGTCACGAGCTTTAAAACGCACTGCACCAGAGGGTTCCAGGAGGATACCATTCACTAGGCAAGGGACCGCTGTTTCACAACCATCAACACTACCATTTACACCTCCTGGGTTGATGTGGAAGGGCCAACGAAGCATTTCAAGTGCCCACCTCCAACTGCAGAGCCAAATGATGAAGACAAGAAGCAAGACCAACTCTAAGAGCTCTGACATTTAGATTGCTTAGAAACATTTAAGACTATGTATTTGACTATTTTGTACTACGTATTTCGTTACTTGGATTATGGTTACCTTATTGCCTTTTACATGGGATTATCACTTCCTAGGTCTATATTTTGGTGAACCAATGCTTAGTCTTTCAGATGGATGCCTTCTTATTTTGCAAGTCCTATGTGATGTAACTCTTTTAGCAACATTAGTGGCATGTACAAATGTCCATTATAATTAATTAAGGTTATTATCTTATGTTACATCTTCAGTTCCTCATTATTAATTAGGTTACCTTTACATCTTATTTAATTCATATGTTCTTCTCTTCTATTATTTCAATTAACATTATTGCCATCAAAATTACCACCCTTGTTATATAATTGTTGGATCAGTAATTGCTTCACCATGTGAATAATTCTTGAGAGAAGACCAAAGATCAGTTCTCGAATATGTATTCAAGAAGACCAGTTCTCAAATACGTATTCGAGAAGACCATTTCTCTAATATATATTCAAGAATATATTCGAGTAGCTTATCGATAAGTTCATTTATCAAACAGCTTATCGATAAATATATTCTTATTTATTCTCGAATATATTCTTGAATATATATTAGAGAAATGGTCTTCTCGAATACGTATTTGAGAACTGGTCTTCTTGAATACATATTCGAGAACTGATCTTTGGTCTTCTCTTACACTTCACATGCGCCCCACCTCGCTTTGCTTTGCCCTAGCTCTCAATGTCGACGACAAAAGCGACCTTCGATGACAACATTGACCTTCGGCATCAACTTTTATTTTGTCGACACAACAGTGCCACGTCACCATCTCATTCACCAACATGTCGTCCATCTTCTTGACACCGTGTCATTTACAGACGTCTGTTTGCCTAAAAGTTAACTCAGGGTATAATTGCTACGATAAATTAGGGGCAATTAAGAACCTTAACCCTAATTTTTTCATCAAATATACCACGAAGTGGTCCATAATTGTTACAAAACAGCTATCATAACCCATATCTCCTGACATACAAATATATTGCAATCAATTTCACACACTCCTACTTTGTCAAATACAAAACAACTACTGCAACCGATATCATTACAGACACTAACATTGCTCTTCTAAACTTTCCTCACTTCCACATCATTCAGCTCATGTCTGCGTTTAAGCTTCTTTAATTCACTGTGAATTACATTGAGCTCTTCACTTAGTCTCCGCCCATGCTCTCCTCTTTGGTTCTTGCTACTTTCATCATATAGTCTGTCAATATCATCTAATAGCTCCTTGATCACAGTGTTTGCCCTCTCACCGAAGTCCCCATCATGCCAAGAGAAATAGCCACATCCCCCATCCTGTCGTGTTCAATACCAACATTTCAACCACGGAACCAGGGAAGAAAATAGCATTTTTCACAGCAAGAAAACCACTTCATACCTGGTCATAGTTTGGGCAGCCATAAAACCTCCTACCTGGGTTATTATCAGTCCACGCCGTCCATCGGGGGTGTACTCCATGATGGCAATACCTCATCGGCGGTTCATAGTTGTCCTCGCAACTAGGTTGCCTCAATAAAGCAAACCTTCTCCTGTATCTTGCCGTCGATGAGGACGATGATGATGCCATGAACTTCACTTTTAGACCTCACTTTGTGTACTCCCTGCGTCTTCGCCTTCTTCGATGGGTATAAATGTGGTTGCAGGGGAAGGCGTTTGGACTTTAATAGAGTCATTGAACTCTCTACCTGCCACGTCTGAAATGGTTTGAAGCTTAACACTTGCCAGGTGGAGAAAGATGTGGAACCCACTTACACAAAATGGACGAACGTTTGGGCCTTCCAACGGCTGTGGTTAAAAAGCGCTCTTTTTTAATGTTTATGTCTACTTTAGCACCCTTCAAAAGTAAATGGTGCCAGTTGTCCTTTTTGTAAAACATGGTTGTTAAATCTGCACCTTAACCCTAAAATAAAACTAACTTAATGAGGGTTATATAACAGTGTCTATCCAGTGAATTTGTTCCTTGAATAATGTACAATCGTCATGTTCCAATCTTTGAGGATTATTTTGTGGTAACTAGTGGTATTAGTTGAATTATAACAAGCACATTTATGAGATTGAGGATTTTAATATATACCAAGTGCTTGCAATACTTGTTTACTTATCATTATTTTGCACTTTTCCTGTGTTAGATGGTGTGTCTTATTGATATTTATGATATGCTTTTTTGGTTTTGTCTTTCAATGTGTAAAGTTTCAATTCAATAACCGATGCCTCGCACGGGTATGACGTCTAGTTTAAACAATTTTATAAGATAATGAATTTAAAAAAAAACTAGATTCAATAAGCTTTTAATTAAACAACAATCCTGTTTCACACTTATATTTCTCTGTGCCACTGACGTGGTCCACATTTTGAATTGTTCTATTATTGTTTTGTCAGGGAAAATGTGTGTAAAGTATACAACTTTGCTACGCGTGTGTGATGATGGAAAAAATTAAAACATTATTTTATAAGTTTTTTTTTTTGGCTGGTGAAGAAACTCTTTTCTTTTTAAAATTTATCGAAGAACATTATTCGCACATCTAAATGTGATATCACATTATTAGTGAGCCTCTTTCAGGTGCATTATATAAAATATAACGAAGGAGTCATACTTCTCGATGACGATCATATAATAAAACATTTTTCAAAGTTCTCTCATTTGAAATATTGATATTGTTACATTGATCTGTTCCCTTCTCATTATTTAATCCCTCCAACCAATCGGTGGAACACAAGTCCTGCAGGAATTTTTCTATATAAAGGGTGGCATTAGGCTCTCAAGAATCCAACAAACAGCAGAAGCAACTCCTATTGTTGGAGTTAAAGAAACATGGAAACCCTAATGGCTTCTGCTACTCTCACTCTGTTGTTGCTGCTTGTGTCTCTAAGCATCTTGCCATCGAAACCTCTGCAGATTATGTTTACCCATTTCCTCCTCCTCCAATGAAAAAACCCTATTACAAGTATCCTTCTTCTCCACCACTTACGAAGAAGCCCTACATGTACCCGTCTCCTCCTCCACCACCACCGAAGAAACACCATGTGTACCCGTCATCTCCTCCACTGAAAAAGCACTATGTGTACCCGTCGCCTCCTCCACCGCCAAAGAAACACTATGATTACAAGTCTCCTCCTCCACCGAAAAAAACACTATGTGTACCTGTCGCCTCCTCCGCCACCCAAAAAACACTATGATTATAAGTCTCCTTCTCCTATGAAAAAACACTATGTGTACCCGTCGCCTCCTCCACCACCAAAGAAACACTATGATTACAAGTCTCCTCCTCCATTAAAAAAACACTACGTGTACCCGTCGCCTCCTCCACCGCCAAAGAAATACTATGTTTACAAGTCTCCTCCCCAGTTTACAAGAACTGTATGTATCCTTCACCACCCCCTCCTTACCACTACTAGATCCAGCGTTTTCACTGCTCGTGCTCCTTGGTGTGTATAAGCTTAGTTCCCTCTCTCACTCCACTACTTCTTATTAATTTCTCATACTTCAGTTCATGAGGCGTAAATAAAGGAATTGATGCTTTTGTTTTAATTTAAATTACAACATGAAAAATTAGTGCTTTTTTTTTAATTACTAATGTGATATTAACAAAATATATGCATACATGTTGGTGAGAACCCACAAGGGAAAAATCCCACGAACCCACAACCGATCTGAATATACGCACCCCAAGAACGTAAACAAAGGTCTGGTGATCTACTTGAACCCTTGAACACGGAAGAACAAGGACCCGAAGTGTTGAAAGACGCCACAAGATTGATCAAGCCTTGATAAGTCTGTTAGTTCAATGAAGAACCCTAGAGAGAACTCCTCTCAATCAGAAATTGCAAAATGCAAGTTTTCATTCAAAATTCCAATCTCCTCCCAAAATGAGGGTTACAATATCTTATAGAGGATACATTCAAGATCTGACCTAAAAAGCATTAAATGCAATCTAGAAAATCAAAACATAATAAATTCATAAGGACTTGATTTAGGTAACTTGGAAATTCAAAAGTCAAATCTGCCAACTAATTATGAATTTTCGCACAAATGCATTTAATGAAATATAATCAGCATATCAAGCCCAAAATATGATTAATTAGGCCCAAATGAGTCTTCTCATGTGTTGTACTTGATCCAAGCTCCTTAAATTGAAGTCTCCAAGCCCAAGATATGATCAGTAGCTCCATTTTCAGCCCAAATGACATTAGTGACATCCTCAGCATTTTTATCCAGATTTGATACTCCAATAAATGCCATTTGCTTTGTCAAGGTGTCTTGCACTAGCCCACTCAAAGCTTCCTTAATTCTTTTAGCTCTTGCTCTTGTGATTGGTCCAGTTGGGATTTGCAATGGATCATTGGAAGTTGAGGAGTTAGCTTGCTGTATCGCATCATTCCCCCTCTCCTCAAAAGGATTCGACCTCGAATCATCACCTGCATCAAAAGGAGATAAATCAGCCACATTGAAAGTAGCACTAACATTATACTTACCAAGTAAATCAATTTTGTAAGCATTGTCATTGATTCTTTCAAGCACTTGAAATGGACCATCTCCTCTTGGAGCTAATTTGGACTTTCTTTGAGCTGGAAATCTTTCTTTCCTCATATGCACCCACACCCAATCACCAGGTTCAAAGAGAACACGCCTTCTTCCTTTGTTAGCCTTGGATGCATATTGCTCATTTTTCTTTTCAATTTGTTGTTTCACTTTTTGATGAAGTTGTTTCACTGTTTCAGCTTTTTTTGTCCCATCAAGACTGGCCCTCTCATCAATAGGCAATGGTAATAAATCCAAGGGAGTTAGTGGATTAAAACCATACACTATTTCAAAAGGAGAATAATCAGTAGATGAGTGCACACTCCTATTGTAAGCAAATTCAATGAATGACAAGCAATTTTCCCAATTCTTCAAGTTCTTTTGAATCACAGTTCTAAGCAATTGAGTTAAAGTTCTATTAACTACCTCAGTTTGTCCATCAGTTTGTGGATGACAAGCAGTAGAAAACAATAATTTAGTACCCAGCTTACCCCACAAAATCCTCCAAAAATGACTCAAGAATTTTGTATCCCTATCAGAAACAATACTTTTAGGAACACCATGAAGTCTTACAATTTCCTTAAAGAACAAATCAGCAATGTATGTGGCATCATCAGTTTTATGGCAAGCAATGAAATGTGCCATTTTAGAAAATCTATCGACAACCACAAATATGGAATCCATACCCTTTCTTGACCTAGGTAAACCCAAAATAAAATCCATTGATATATCTACCCAAGGTTCACTAGGCACAGGTAATGGGGTGTACAAACCATGTGGCAAGACTCTAGATTTAGCCTTTTTACAAGTTATGCATTTAGCACAGATTCTTTCCACATCACGTTTCATTTTAGGCCAAAAGAAATGTTCATGCAAAACATCCAAAGTCTTTTTCACACCAAAGTGACCCATTAATCCTCCCCCATGTGCTTCTCTCACAAGTAATTCTCGCAAAGAACATTGAGGCACACACAATCTGTTTTCTTTAAACAAGTACCCATCAATCCTATAAAACTTTTCAAATGCTTTCTTTTCACAAGCAAGAAACACTTCAGCAAAATCAGCATCAATGGCATACAATTCCTTGATATATTCAAAACCAAGCAACCTAGCATTTAGAGTAGTAAGAAGAGTATACCTTCTTGACAATGCATCAGCCACCACATTTTCTTTACCTTTCTTGTATCTGATGACATACGGAAATGTCTCAATAAATTCCAGCCACCTTGCATGTCTCTTGTTCAGCTTACCTTGACCCTTAATGTGCTTCAAAGATTGATGATCAGTATGAATTACAAATTGTTTAGGCCAAAGGTAGTGTTGCCAATTCTCTAATGCTCTTTTAAGTGCATAGAGCTCCTTGTCATATGTTGGATACTTCAAGGCTGCTCCATTCAACTTTTCACTAAAATAAGCAATTGGCTTTCCTTCCTGCATCAAAACAGCTCCTATTCCAACTCCAGATGCATCACATTCAATCTCAAAAGTTTTGTTAAAGTTAGGCAATACTAATACAGGTGCAGAACACAATTTATCCTTAAGCCTAATGAATGCAACATCTTGTTCTTTATCCCATTTAAAACCAACAGACTTTTTAATAACTTCAGTGAGTGGTGCAGCAAGTGTGCTAAAATCTTTGACAAAGCGCCTATAAAAACTAGCCAAACCATGAAAGCTTCTCACCTCAGTTATGCTTTTAGGTGTTGGCCATTCTTTAATAGCTCTTATCTTTTCTTCATCAACTTCTATTCCTTTAGCACTCACCACAAAGCCAAGAAAAACAATTTTATCCATACAAAAATCACACTTCTTCATATTTGCAAACAATTTTTCCTTTCTCAAAACATCAAGCACACAATGCAAATGATTCAAATGCTCATCAAGATTCTTGCTGTAAATCAGAATGTCATCAAAATAAACCACAACAAATTTCCCAATGAAAGCACGCAAAACATGATTCATTAATCTCATGAAAGTACTAGGTGCATTAGTTAACCCAAATGGCATAACTAACCATTCATACAAACCATGTTTTGTTTTGAAAGCAGTTTTCCATTCATCCCCTTCCCTCATTCTAATTTGATGGTATCCAGATTTCAAATCAATCTTAGAAAAGACAATAGAACCATGCAATTCATCAAGCATATCATCTAATCTAGGAATGGGATGGCGATACTTTATAGTGATGTTATTCACAGCTCTGCAATCAATGCACATCCTCCAAGTTCCATCTTTCTTTGGGACCAAAAGTACCGGAACAGCACAAGGACTCAAGCTTTCTCTAACATATCCCCTTGCCATGAGCTCTTCCACTTGCCTTTGAAGTTCCTTTGTCTCTTCTGGATTGCTTCTATAGGCTGGCCTATTAGGAATTGTTGCTCCTGGAATGAAATCAATTTGATGCTCAATTCCTCTAATGGGTGGTAATCCAGGTGGAATCTCCTCTGGGAACACATCAACATATTCCTGCAATAAAGAACTAACAACACTTGGAAAGGAAGAGTTAATGTCATTAGTATCCAAAAAGGATTCCTTGTAAACAAGGAGAAGCAAATGTTGTTCAGCCAAAAAGGCATTCCTCACTTCACTTTCTTTTGCATAAAAACTCAATTTCTTTTTCTCTTTTCTCTCTTCATTTTTTTTCTGAAATTCTTTTTTTGAACTCTCATCTTTTCTCTCCTTTTCACTCCCATTTCTTTTTGATGTCTCTCTCACATTTTTCATATCACTCTCTTTTTTATCTCTCTCTTTTTTCATCTTAAGTTGATCCTCATACACTTGCTTTGGGGTCAATGGTACAAGAGTAATGGGTCTGTTGTTCATTACAAAAGAATATCTATTTGTAAGCCCATCTTTCTTTACCTTTCTATCAAATTCCCAAGGTCTTCCCAAAAGTATATGTCCAGCATGCATAGGAACAACATCACATAATACTTCATCACAATACTTCCCAATTGAAAAAGAAACAAGAACTTGCTTATCAACTTTAATCTCCCCACATTCATTCAGCCATTGCAGCTTGTATGGTCTAGGGTGTCTAACAGTGGGCAAATGTAATTTCTCAACCATTGTAGTGCTTGCAAACACCATCAATTATCAAACTACATACCTTGTTATTAATGAGGCAGCGAGTATGGAAAATATTTTCCCTTTGCTCATTCAACTCATCTTCCTTCACTTGACAATTCAAGGCTCTTCTAACCACAAGGCATTCTCCTTCCACAGCATACTCAATCCCATCATCACTAGCATCTTCAAGTAGGGGCATGGAGTCATCACTTTCACTCTCACTTTCAGTCACAACTTCATTATTTTTCAGAATCATAACTCTCTTGTTGGGGCATTGAGAAGCAATATGACCTGTACCCAAACACTTGAAACATTTTATATCCCTATTTCTAGAAGTTTGGGAATCAGATTTACCTTTGCTCTTTGATGAAGCTTCTTCTTTGCCTCTAGTGGTCTCCTTTTGGATAGCTTTTTCTCCTTTCTTCCAATTCTGTTTGAAAGAAGAAGTTGATCCAGAATGAAATTTTGAAGCACCTTTTCGCTTGAGTTGCTTTTCCACCTTAATAGCCATATGCACCATGTCTTCTAGTTCTACATAATGATGCAATTCAACTATATCAGCTATATCTTTGTTCAACCCACTTAGAAA